AACAAATAAAGTATATATTTCATCAAATTAAGCAAACAGGAAGCCAGAGATGAAAATCGATAGTAAATTAACCATAGAAGAACAATTTTAAAGTTAAAGATATCGAGAAATATCATACGATAAGATGAAATCGTGAAAGTTTCGGGTTACCAATACTGGCACCATTTTTTTTTCTTTACTTTACTCGAGTGATGACATGAGAATTTGTCAAACGTCTCTCTCATTTTATGTTTTGTCAATCCTGTTAGAAATATAAAAAGGGTCAACTAGGCCCCACGATTCAGAAGGCTCCAGGCCCCTTCAGGTGAGAAGAGGGTCTTTGCTTTTTAATAATCCCAATAGGGCTTATCCTTTTCTAAGGCTTGGCTTAGGACCTCAATTTTTATTTAAAACAGGAAATACTTCACCGATTTAATTAGAATTAAGCAATTGGTGCACATTGTAAATGTAGTGTATGTTTAATGATCTCAATCCTATCACCGCTTTCATCGAAATAAAATCTTAAATAATATCTACAATTTTGACTTAAAGATTAATATTCTAGAAACATTCTTTATATTAATTTTTCTTAAAAAAAATATATAATAAAAATCGCGTCATAGTATATACTGTATCTGGTGATGTTCCAAATGTTTCTTATTTCTTATCTAGGTAGTATCTTGTCGATTCATTAATCTTTCTAGAACCCAATTCAAGTTTTTTTTTTTATATATATAAAGTTATCGTAGAGTCTGATAGATGATTTATCTTAGATATTGTTAAAGATTATTTTCTTTTGACTTCTACAGACATACAAACACACTCACGTTTCTTATCAATTTTCATAATAATAGTAATAACGAACTATTGATTAATATTTATTATCATTAACTACTTATTCAATACTAGAAATAAATGAAAATCAATTGATTTTTTCGGGGAAATTTGGTAACTTTCCAAAAAATTTATTTAATTTTTATACATTTTTTTTCCTCCTCCTCCTTCTCTGAGAATTTTTTTTTTTTTTTTAGTTTTTAGAACAGATTTTATAACGTATATTAAGCGTGATTAATTAAGGAACCACAAATTTTTTTTGTTAAGTAAATGGTTTTGTATACATTCAAAAAACTTTAATTTATTATAAACATTGTTACTGTGCGGTCTGCTTGATGTAATGAAAGCCAAATCTATTCAATTTACTTAATATATAATGATTAATGATTTTTAATATTCTGTATTCGTATTCTAATAACATAAAAGTTTAGAGAACTTATAAAAATTTATTAAAAATCAGTTTTTAACACGATCATTAAGCCAAAAAAACAGCTACAAAATTTAATAAAAAGCGAGATTTTAAGCACTATTATGAAGTAAAACATATGGAGAACTTCTAAAAATTAAAAAGCAGAACATTTATTTATTTATTTATTTTTTAAATCAGAAAAATCAAACAGGTTTATCCATTTAAGTAATGACACTTATATAAGAAAACAAGAGCTTTTACTGATGCCAAACTGTATGTCTGACCTTCCAATGATGAAGTTAATTGAGACAATGATGTGATAAACTTCAAGAACGTTGTAAATCCTACTGGAAGATAGTAAATCCCAGATTATCGTTGTTAAATAACGTTTTAAGTTGTATTTATAATCTAGGATTATAGATTCTGAAGATTCTTTAGAATGTATTCAGGATCTAGTTTCCAGGATCTTTATGTTTAGAATAATCTAGGATTCTAAGCTATATTCTTTAAAATATATCCATGAATATACAATATCAATGCATGGGCAAACACGTCTAAAGCTGGGACTTCGTCTTTTTGGGATCATTTCACTGCTTCTCGTTGATAATTTTTTTCATTCTATATCCGTACTTGTATAATGCTTCTAAAGAAATTGTTTCAGAGGCCTTAAAAGTGCTTAAAATGGCCCTCTCAAGATCTTACTCAGAATCCAAGATTCCATGCTGTAAAGAGTCTTCAGGATATAATTAAAATTCAGAATCCTTACATTAAAACCCTAAAATTCTAAAACTTAAAGATTCATCACAATCTTAAGAGTTTATGCCTTAAAAATTTACCAATAATCTAGATAAGCAATTCTCAACCAGTGTTACTCTTTGAGATACGAATCGGTTCGTGCTGTAAGTGTATACACAAGAATCTCAGATGGTACGCGAGTTAATAAAGGTTGAAAACCACTGATCTAGAGTTCATTTTAATTAAAAATTATAAAAAAAAA